TAAGTCAGGGCTCCATGCCATGACCATGAGATCATGACCTGAGCCGAAATCAAGAGTCAGACACCTAACTGAGCCACCTAAGTGCCCGAGTCTAGAAATAATTCTTATCCAATATCTTTTTTATATTTACTGGGTTCTGAACTTAGCCCGTCTTCATCTCTCTCATTTCAATGGTGGCTTACTTGAAACATTGCTGAAAACAGAAAACGTAATGTTAGAGTAGTGGACATTACTCATATTTTAGTTGTCCATCTGTACCTGTGGCCGAGGCTGCTAGCTGCCTAACAGAGTTGTGTCTACTCACTCCATTGTGAAATTCTGCCTTTGGAAATGACACCTTGTCAGGGACTATACGTGTCAGACCTCTTGTATCTATGCAGCCCCAGTAGTATATGAGTGAAAGTAAGAGGTCTCAGTTCAAGCCTGAGATTGTTAGGACTTGGGCGTGCCTTCTCTACACTTCCTGAGTGACTTTAGAAACCAAGTGCTGAAGAAGGCAAGAGTGCCACCAGGTAGAAGTCATTGAATACCATCTTGAAGCAGAATCTATGCCTCTGTGGGTAGTGATACTTAACTTAGACTGTCATATGAGTGAGGAATAAACTTTGTGCTAATAAACAAAAGATTCGAGATTGTTCATTAAGTTATTTTTGTTACCATAATGCATAGAGAATCCTTTCCATGTCTTGGGTATTTCCCAGGTTAAAGGTTTTACTGGAAAACAGAGCCCACCTTACAACACAGAATCTGAAAAGGCCAGCTATTTGCCTTTCTGGAATCTCTGGCACTTTTGTGTGGGTACATAACCCTCAGTCTGTTATTGAGACTCATCCTGGACCTTGATACAGGAGCCATGATATGAGTTAGGGAGTGTGGAGAATTCATTCTGGGACAGTAGTGTTTGGGCAGCAACATTCCGATTCCTGGAAATTTTGTGGGCTATACAGTACACATTTATTGAGTTAATTCTGGCTTAAAAGTAGTCCAAATTCATTATCATGGCTTAGAATTCAGAACCATCACTAATAATCCATAAGAGATGACTGAGGCGAGCTTAAAGTAATGATCCACATAATACCAATTAGATCCAGCCAGCAGGACCAGGGTTGGGTTTTTATGAGGGTTGGGTTTTTAAAGGCATTTTTGAGTATGTGAAGTTTCCTTTTTTCTATGTGACCAAAAATGCAAAATCTATTAGAATTAGAAAAATGCTCTTGAGCTCATTAATGGGAAATGCAATTAGCTGTCATTTGAAGTGGTGTTTCTACCAAGAGAATCAGGCCTCACTTCATCCTTCTGTGCTTTATTATTTCCTTCCAGCTGAAATGAAAAACTGTACGCTCATATTATTTTTAGAGCATTTTAACCAGAAAATGGCTCTGCAATCTGCATACTTTCTCAAGAACATTTCTCTAACCCATATTTCAGTATTCTGGGTAATTGTACACTTAAGTACCTTTTGAGGTCACTGATTGAGTAACTAGCATAGCACACCCTAAGTATCATGTGAAGTAGAATTGTAGTCCAGTAGGTTTAGCCGAAGACACGCCCACAGTTCATTTTTGATTGGAGAAAAAATTCTTCTAAACGGTCATTGTCACCGTTAAAGATGGCATTCAGAAATACAATGCCCACTTTATGGACACCACTCCTCCTGTCATCCCAAAATCTTAGTGGAAAGCAAAAGGGACGTCTAAAATGAACACCATTATGCCTTTTTACAGGAGTTTTAGAAGCTCCAATTTCCTCTCAAAACACATAGCTTTCATTATGCATCATTAAGAAAGTGATTATTTCAGGGAATTTCAGTGAATGGTTATTATCCTTTTTACTATTTGACCTTCTGTAATTCTGAGCCTCTATAAATAATGTACCACCTAAGTGCCACAATGGGATTTTGCAACAAATTAATTAGTGATACCACAGAAGAAAATACATTGTTTAATTTTACCATAATGTAAGTATCTTAATTTTGTATAATCAAGGGGTATTTCCTAATATTAAATATCTCAGAAGACTTCTAAGAGAATGTTATTAATATTTTTAAATATAAACCATCTAATTTTATAAACCATATTAAAATTGAATGGTCTGGCTCATACTGTAAATTGCAAACCTTTTTTCTGTCTTTAAAGAAAGATACCAATTTTACAGAGCATAATACTGCATATCACGGTTAATTTCAATTAACAATTATAGTGAAAACAAATTCTAGATGAATGTCGTCTGCAAAGTATTCAGAAATCTAATTTAAACATGACTTTCAAATTTCAGGTTTGTTAACTCACTTGTCAAAATCACTGTTTAACCACTTCCAACCCATGGTGGTTGTGGGACCTTTGCAGTGTTACCTAATGTCACTTCTGTCATCTCTCCTGATCATTTGTAACAGTCTGAATCCAATCAGGAGAGAGAAAACAGTATTTTGAATAGGAAAAGTTATTTTTTTGCAAGTTAATTTTTTTTAAGTAAAGAATTATTGTAACAGGGATTGGAATACTGAGGGATTAGCTAGAAGTACAGATCACTCTGAAGACTGTAGGTATACCAGATACAGTATTATATAATGTAATCTGTAATAACTCCCCCTGGAATTGAGCTAGCCTGAGGAAGCAACCTCAATCCCCTGTGCCTCTGGGCTGAGATCCAGATCTTGCTTTTTTTTTTTTTTTTTCTTAAGAGTTTATTTATTTGAGAGATAGACCATGTGCACCCTGCATGAGCTGGCGTATGGGGCAAAGGGAGAGGGAGAAGCAGACTCCCCGCTGAGCAGGGAGCCAGACACGGAGCTTGATCCCACGACCCTGGGACCATGAACTAAGCCAAAGGCAGATGCTTAACCGACTGAGCCACCCAAGTGCCACGCACCGCCCTCTCCCCCCCCCAAGATCCATATCTTCTTATGGAAGATGGAGTCATGGCCCACCAAATGACCAAAAAGTTGCTATGATGTCATGCTAGAATGGTTTGCTGGTAATTCATCCTCTAGGTCCAAAATATCTCCTTGGAGGCACTCCTACAAAAGTAGTCAGGGAGTACTGCTGGCCATTTTTTTTTTTTTTTTTTTTTTGGAGAGTCTGAGAGCCCTCCAAAAGTTACCCAAGCTATAGGAGTTGAGCTCTGGAAAATACAATGCCCTGCAGGATCCAGACACCAGGAAGGCCTCACATGCCCCAAGAGCCTTTGAGCAAACAAATCAGAAGCAGGAAGCAAAAACCCTTTCTTCATTGAGTGTCTCTCTTTCATCATCTGCTGACAAAGCTTAAAATCGTGCTCCTTGGTAAGAGAAAAATATTTTAAGAGCCCAGATCCTTTTTCATAGAGCAAGATAAAGGGGTGATTTTGGAGCTGAGAGGCAATAAATGTATAACCAGCAAAACATTGTACTGAAAGGATATCATTCATTTAAATTTGTAGTTATCACCTAGACCCCAGCTTGGGGAGTCAGATATTATAGAGGTCTAGTTGAACGTGAACTGGCATGTCTCCTGGCATGCTTGTTGCTTTGTTCCAGGGCTCCCACAAAAAGAAAAACAAAGTGAAATGTTATCTGACTGGCTTTACGTTTTTGCAAGTGAAGATTGTAGGAATAAAAGTAAATTTATCATTTCATTTGCATTGACTATATTGTAAATGGTTGTTGGGAGATGGCTATATTTAAACTGTTTTTATATAAATGTGATTAGTCCTTTAAAATGAATGTCATTTTATAATCTAGTCACTAATGAGAAAAAAATTTTGTAGGCAAGGAGAGATTCAAAAGTTACCTATTTTTTGACATATCCTAATTGGCCAAATTATTATAGTTGACTGATAAACCTGATTCAAAGTAAAGTTTTCCACAATTTCCATAGTTTTCAGTAGAGAAAAGGGCAAAATAGATTGGGGGGCATAAGTCATGTGAATTAATAAAGAAATTTTCCTAAGAGTCATATGTTCAAGGAGAGGACTTGTTCAGCATAAAATTATCTAATTCTGCAGCATTTATTATTCTCCATTAGATCTAAGGTATGTGTGTGTGTAAAGCATTTAATTTTAATTAAAGGGTAGATTTGTTTAGAAAAATGCAAATTAATTGCATTCAAAAAATCAATGCAGTTACACAATTTTTTTTTCCTGATGATTGCAAAATGACAAAGGCTCTGAAACTAATACAAGATTCTTGAATTTGTGCTTGAATTACTTCAAATCAGTCAAATAAACTTAAGGAAAATAGTTTTCTGTGAATTTATTTTAATTCTACTTTAACTTTTTTAATTATAATCGCAAATGTTCTGGCCATTATCAAATATGTGAAGAAAAAGATTAAAAAAATCTTACCACTATATCAATAACAATTCAAGAGAAACAGGTGTCTTTTTATAGATCAAGATAGTATGACATTGAATGAAAATATAAAGATCAAAAAATTGAAAGTACAATTTCCATTAGTGGCAAGTAATTTTCCTTTTAAGGTAAATTTTTATGTTAGTAGAGGGGAAGTAAAATGTATAACCGCTGGACACCTGATAAAACATGTTAAGATAGCATCTAGAAAATCCCTGTGTCTACAAGTTAGTTATGAAATAATGTGAAAAAAGAAAATTAACTTCTGCTAACTTTCTTTTACACTGCTGTGTTTGCCATTTTGAAAAGACTAAGGTATAAAAATTATAATCCCGGGGCGCCTGGGTGGCTCAGTCGTTAAGCGTCTGCCTTCGGCTCAGGTCATGATCACAGGGTCCTGGGATCGAGCCCTGCATCAGGATCCCTGCTCAGCGGGGGGCCTGCTTCTCCCTCTCCCACTCCCCCTGCTTGTGTTCCCCTCTCTCGCTATGTCTCTCTCTGTCAAATAAATAAATAAAATCTTTAAAAAAGAAATTATAATCCCATTTTAACTATTGCTCTGGTAAGTGGAATGTGTCAGTGGAGTTTTGTGACTTTTGAAAATATCTTTCTAGATCATATGTAATATTTTTATTTAATTTCTCTATTTTTCATTTAATTTCTCTTTCTTTTAGCTTCCCCATGGGTTGATAACAGTAGAACTCCAAACAAGATTGATCTTTATGATGTACGCAGAAGACCATGGTAAGAATTTTTAGGTAGTCATGAAAAAATGAACTAGACAAAAGAAGGTCACATTTTTGGTGAAAAAGTTGAAAGGATTTCCATTTTAGAATGAAATGGATATTGTCTAATTATTTTAAAGAGCTCTGGTGTGTTTTTTGTTTTTTTTCCATCTAATAAATAAATGCAGTTAAAACAATGAAGATAGTGAGTTCAAGTGAGCAATAATAATGAAAATTGTTGAAATGATTTGTCACATGGCCTCAAATGGACTAGTTGTAAGTTTTATATTCAATGTCATCTCTAAATCTCTTTTAGCTGGTGGGGGTTTCTATTGAAAAGCTCCCAGTTTGCTTATTAGAGTAGAGCTCTAATGAAGTGTTTCGATAGAGTAGAAGGTGGTTTGCCTCTGGCAGTGAACTAATGAGAACTGGTTCCAAGGTAAAAGCTGCCCCTAGTTACGGTCACAAAGCTTAGGTTTCATTTTCCCAAAAGGGAAGTTTTTGTTCCTCACTACTAAAGCAACTCATTCTCCTAACATATACCTTGAAAAATAGCAAATAGCTCATGAGTGCACGCACTGGGAAACAATTATTAAGCTTGTGTATTTTATTTCCATTTTTTAAAAAATGTATTTAATGTGTAGATTTCTTTTTTTAAGGAGTTCACATTTTATACAATATACTGCTTTGTAATCTGTTCTTTCATATCAATACCTTTGAGTGCTTATGCATAAGAGACATGCTTAACGTCATTTTAGAATGATTATATGGTAACTTATTTTGAAAATCCCCTATTGGACATTTAGATGATTTCTAACTTTTTGCTAGGGTTTATACAAATTCCAAGATGCATGATGATTGATTCGAAGAAATATATTTAAAACTTGGAAATGGACTATTAAGCATTCCAGTAGCAATTTAGATGAACACCAGCCACAAATGATAATACCAGATATTATAATCCACATAATATTTTTGTTAATATTTCTCCAGATGTGGTGGCCCTGAAGCTATGGGTTGTTGAATGGAGGCCGAGACTACGATATCATGTAGATTGGGTTCAGGAACTTGTTTTTGAGGGGAACCTTAGAAGCAAGGTGCCAACCTGCTATCCTGTCCTCTCATCTTCCCATAGAGAAGCATGCCAGGACCAGTTCACATGCTGGACAGGAACTAGATTTGCCTCTCATTGGAATATCCTGGCGAACCTGCCCCATTTACCTCCTTACAGAGAAACAGACTTTGGTGCACGTTTCAAGCTCTGTTTCATGAACACGTAGTCCTGAGTAGATACTTACTGTGTTGGATGTTGTCTGAAAACGAATTGGCAGGTTTTCTGCAGGCTTCTGAGAAGTTAGATTTAGTCATGGGCAAAGAGGCCGGAGTGATAACTAAAAAGTTGAGGTCAGGTTCAGCTCTTCCTGGTGGGTAAGTCAGCCCTCCGACCCCCATCAGGCTGGCCAGGCAGCATAAACTTTGGGGATCGTTCACCTGCAATTCACTTTCTCTCTACAGTTGTTGAACTATCTGAATACAACTTTCCTAGATTTGCTTTAATAGGCACAGATTCTGAGTCAGTAGGGCTGGGGTTCAATGTGAGAATCAGTGTTGTGAACTGGTTCTCCCGGTGATTCTACTCTTGGCAATGTTATATATTACTTTGTTTTAAATTACTTCCTTATCCCTTTGTATAACCCCTTAGTATTTCTTGTCTGTTGATAGTTGTTTTCTCACATTCCTAGACCACCTAGCTATTTCTGTGTTTATTTTTTTCATTGAAAAATAGGATATAATCTTATAATTCCTTAGAGTGAGTTTTAAACCCCACGGTCAATAAATTGGAGTTTAGGATATATATATATATTTCACATCCAGGAGTTAATTTCTTTTGCTTCTAATACTAGAACACATCTCTTAATCTTTTGTTATAGCTGTGATACATACCTTAAGTATTTTGCCTCTGACATCTCTATTATGTTAAATATAGCTTTTTAAAAATCAACATTGTAGAATTGTGAATGAAAGCACATTGTCTACTGAGATAGAATGGAAGTAGGGCCATGCTTGGAAAAGCCTTGAAGAAATCCGTAAAAACCAATTTTTCAAAACATATCAATGTTTAATATTTTTCAAGATAAAAAAGTATTCATATGGTATTTGTTTCAGGTACATCCAAGGAGCTGCATCACCTAAAGACATGCTTATTTTGGTTGATGTGTGAGTAGTTAAATATTTTACATATATATACTGAAAATATAGGGAGGATTTGAAGATAACAGTAGTATGTTGGAAATAGGCTGGGGGGGGAGGGGGAAGGCAGAGAGCAATCGTGATGACTTTTATATCCAGACAAAGAAGCCATGTTAAGACAGTAACAAAACAAACAAAAATTCTCTTACTGTAAATAAGAATCTATATTGGAATTGAAAATTAAGGCCTCGTTCTAAAGTCTGAGCTTTTTGAAAATTATTCTTTTGTTTCAAATTTTTGCTTTATATTTTAAACAGGAGAAAGTATTTGGTTGCTAAAACTTAGCAGTTCCTGCTACCAAACAAAACAAAACAAATTAGTTGGCACTTAGTCATTAATTAGTTAATTCAAATAACTTGTAGGGATTTAGCCACAAAATAGATAAATATCGAATATATTAAAGGCCAATACTGGGACTTTTTCAAGGGAAATGCTGGTATATAGGAAGGAATTCCACAAGTTTTTATATTGGTCGTTTTATTTTTTTACATCGCTTCAAGTTAAGGGGGTGTATGTGTGTAATCTTCTAATAAAATTTAAGATGAAGTTGTGGAATATCGAAAATAATTAGTTTGGGGGTTTTTTTTTTTTTAAAGATTTTATTTATTTATTAGAGAGCGAGCGAGAGAGAAACAGCATGAGAGAGGAGAGGGTCAGAGGGAGAAGCAGACTCCCCGCTGAGCTGGGAGCCCGATGTGGGACTCGATCCCAGGACCCTGGGATCATGACCTGAGCCGAAGGCAGTCGCTTAACCAACTGAGCCACCCAGGCGCCCGAAAATAATTAGTTTTTAAGAGTAATACCAAGGAGTTAAAAATATGAGGTATAAAATGCTTATTTTCCCTGAGAGAAAAAGTTACATCTTCTTATATTCTTTGCCACATTGGAAGAAACAGAATCCAATGTTTTGTAGGCAGATAAATCCATACCACAAGCTAGTATCAACATTTGAAAACATTTAGAAAATGATCTGAAGTAAACAAGTTAAAAACCTATCACCCAGCCTGAAGAAGGGAAGATAAATGAATTCAACAACTATAACTTACATGCTAGTTCCCATTTCATTTCTTAAGATATATGTAAGTCAGAACATTTTAATTAAATTATTATGGAGTTTATATCATATGCTAATCCTTGATATTCTTCTTAAGTATAAATCTAAATGGTGATTCAATATGTTATAACCTTATTGGATATATGATAATTCCCAGAAATAATTTTTCATATTAAAATCTCTAGAACCCACATGCATATCGGAAGACTAAAAATGCATACGAAGTTGAAATACCATTTTTAAAGGATATTTCAACAAACATGTATGGAGGCTGTCCTTTATACAATGTGATAATGTAGAGACAAAGATGATTAAGATGTCTCTCAAAGATAATTCAAGTGTATTAGTGAAACTAAAACTCTATTTCCAAGTAACTAAAATAATTGTAGAAGGTGATAGATGTGAAGTCTGACCCAGCACTAAGAGTTGATAGGAAAGAGCATTCTGATTTAAAGTGTCAGAAAAGACTTCATTAAGGAGATAAAAGTAGAATTGATTCCTTAGAGTTAGGATTTCACAAGGTGGGCATGGGAGAGGAGAGGAAAGAGAATGGAATTTCCAGTGGAAGAATTGACAGGAGCAAAGCTGCGTAGGTGAGAACATCTGGGGGAACTGTATTGAGCAGAAGGAAGAAAGAAAGAAAGTATGAAAGTTTTGGAAAGCAGGGCTTTTGTGATCACTGGCTAGTTAGTAGGTGACTATGAGCTATTAACAGTATTTGATCAAGGTGTGTTTCCAGAATTTTCACCTGTTTGCATGGGGGTGGGGGGAGTAGAGGCTGAGAGTTGGATGGAGTGGCAAGCTCAGGGTCTTCAGGTAAGAAGTACCTGACACTGAGTGGAGAGAAGGTGGAGAGGAGGCCACCTCTGTGGGAACTGGGAAGTGGAATGAAAAAGGGAGGTTCTCTGAATGGGTTGGAAAGTTGAGGGAGGAGGAAATTGGATGACTGAAATCCAGCCTGGTTGGTACCAAGAACATTAATAGGAAAAAAATATGTTTGGGAGTAATTTGCCATTTTGTACATGGACCCTGTAGTTGTTTAACAAACAGCCAGAAGTCTAAAAGTAAGGAAAAGCCAAGAGCCCTGGAGATGAAGAAAGGGGAGGTAGTTGCCTAGAGATGAGTCTCACAATGAGATGAGGTTGCCAAGGATCATCGAATATGTAGAGACAAGAGAAATAAAGACTAAAACCCTTCAACTTGGCTAACAGAGCTGGTATTCAGTATCTATTTTCTGAATAAGTAAATAGGCCATGAGTATCCATAATTTCTTAAAATCGTCCCTGGACATCATCATTGTAGTTAGAAACACATACATTCTGATGCTGATAGGAAAGATAAGATTCCTTATAATTTACTTCTACTCTATCAAAAACATGACTTTCTTTACTAATTTTTAAAGACAAAAATATTTAATTACATAAATGACCTAGAGTTAGTGCAAAAGTCTCCTTTCCTTCTGATGTGTGGTGTTGCTTCAGTACGTGGTCATGGACCCATTTTTTTTTTTTTTTTTAAATAGGAGTGGAAGTGTTAGTGGATTGACACTTAAACTGATCCGAACCTCTGTCTCCGAAATGTTGGAAACCCTCTCAGATGACGATTTCGTGAATGTGGCTTCAGTAAGTATAAGATGACTGCATTTTTATGGAATTAATTCTGCAATTTCTGTTTCCCCCAATTTTAAATACTTTATTGTGTTTTATCATTGATAGGCTGAGGTAGGTCTGATCTTTGATAAGGCGATCTCACTGAGCAGTCCTATTCTTATTCCTAATTCTCCTATACTTCCATGCCAAGGTCCTTTTTGAATGTCTGAGGCTTTTCCTGTGAGTGAAATAATTGAAGTAATAATGAAGAAGAAAAAGCATGGAAAATTTATACACTTCTACTTCCGCATACTTGGTATTTTGGCGCCCATGGGAAGCCTTTTGGTGCGCGCAGGAAGCAGAGCATAGAGAAGAACCTGGAAGAGCCCCGGGGCAGGGGCTGGGACTCCCTTATTGGCTCCGTCGGCCATCTTAGGACACAGATTTTTCCTTATCACTAATAAGTAGCAACTATGGCAATTTTCTGTTCATTATAATACTCATTTTTCACATTGGACACATATCTATAATGTATTACGGTTTTTTAAATTGAAGTATAATTAAGGTCATATTAGTTTCAGGTATACAACATATTGATTCAACAATTCTATACATTATTCAGTGCTCACGATGATAAGTATAGCTACCATCTGTTACTACAATAGTGTTGACTGTATTCCCTCTTCTGTACTTTTCATCTGTGACCTATTTATTTTATAATTGGAAGTTTGTACCTCTTCATCCCCTTTATCTATTTTACCCATTCCCCCCACCCACCTACCTTCTGGCAACCACCAGTTTGTTCTTTGTATTTCAGAGTCTCTGTGTGTTTGTTCATTTGTTTTATTTTTTTAAGTTATTATTATGTTAATCACCATACATTACACCATTAGTTTTTGATGTAGTGTTCCATGATTCATTGTTTGCGTATAACACCCAGTGCTCCGTTCAATACATGTCCTCTTTAATACCCATCACCAGGCCAACCCATCCTCCCACCCCCTCCCCTCTAGAACCCCCAGTTTGTTTTTCAGAGTCAATCATCTCTCATGGTTTGTCTCTCCCTCCGATTCGCCCCCTTCATTCTTCCCCTCCTGCTATCTTCTTCTTTTTTTTTTTTTTAACATATAATGTATTATTCGTTTCAGAGGTACAGATCTGTGATTCAACAGCCTTGCACATGTCTATCACCCAGCCACCCCATCCCTCCCACCCCCCACCACTCCAGCAACCCTCAGTTTGCTTCCTGAGATTAAGAATTCCTCATATCAGTGAGGTCATATGATACGTGTCTTTCCCTGATTGACTTATTTCGCTCAGCATAACACTCTCCAGTTCCATCCACGTCGTTGCAAATGGCAAGATCTCATTCCTTTTGATGGCTGCATAATATTCCATTGTGTATATATACCACATCTTCTTTATCCATTCATCTGTGGATGGACATCTTGGCTCTTTCCACAGTTTGTCTGTTGTGGACATTACTGCTATAAATATCAGGGTGCATGTACCCGTTCAGATCCCTACATTTGTATCTTTGGGGTAAATACCCAGTAGTACAATTGCTGGATCGTATGGTAGCTCTATTTTCAACTTTTTGAGGAACCTCCATACAGTTTTCCAGAGTGGCTGCACCAGCTTGCATTCCCACCAACAGTGTAGGAGGGTTCCCCTTTCTCCGCATCCCCCCCAACATCTGTCATTTCCTGACTTGTTAATTTTAGCCATCCTGACTGGTCTGAGGTGGTATCTCACTGAGGTTTTGATTTGGATTTCCCTGATGCCGAGTGATGTTGAGCACTTTTTCATGTGTCTGTTGGCCATTTGGAGGTCTTCTTTGGAAAAATGTCTGTTCATGTCTTCTGCCCATTTCTTGATTGGATTCTTTGTTCTTTGGGTGTTGGGGGTTTGATAAGTTCTTTATAGATTTTGGATACTAGCCCTTTATCTGATATGTCATTTGCAAGTATCTTCCATTCTGTCGGTTGTCTTTTGGTTTTGTGGACTGTTTCCTTTGCTGTGCAAAAGCTTTTTATCTTGATGAAGTCCCAATAGTTCATTTTTGCCCTTGCTTCCCTTGCCTTTGGCGATGTTTCTAGAAAGAAGTTGCTGCGGGTGAGGTCGAAGAGGTTGCTGCCTGTGTTCTCCTTTAGAACTTTGATGGACTCCTGTCTCACACTGAGGTCTTTCAACCATTTTGAGTCTATTTTTGTGTGTGGTATAAGGAAATGGTCCACTTTCATTCTTCTGCATGTGGCTGTCCAACTTTCCCAACACCATTTGTTGAAGAGACTGTCTTTTTTCCATTGGACATTCTTTCCTGCTTTGTCGAAGATTAGTTGACCAAAGAGTTGAGGGTCCATTTCTGGGCTCTCTATTCTGTTCCATTGATCTATGTGTCTGTTTTTGTGCCAGTACCATACTGTCTTCATGATGACAGCTTTGTAACAGAGCTTGAAGTCGGAATTATGATGCCACCAGCTTCGCTTTTCTTTTTCAACATTCCTCTGCTATTCGGGGTCTTTTCTGGTTCCATACAAATTTTAGGATTATTTGTTCCATTTCTTTGAAATAAGTGGATGGTATTTTGATGGGGATTGCTTTGAATGTGTAGATTGCTCTAGGCACCAAAAGAAAGCTGGGGTGGCAATCCTTATATCAGACAAATTAGATTTTAAACCAAAGACTGTAATAAAAGATGAGGAAGGACACTATATCCTACTTAAAGGGTCTATCCAACAAGAAGATCTAACAGTTGTAAGTATCTATGCCCCTAACATGGGAGCAGCCAATTATATAAGCAAAGAAACACATCAACAGCAATACAATAATAGTAGGGGACTTTAATACCCCACTCACTGAAATGGACAGATCATCTAAGCAGAAGATCAACAAGGAAATAAAGACTTTATTTTTTATTTTTTTTTAAAGATTTTATTTATTTATTTGACAGAGATAGAGCACAAGTAGGCAGAGAGGCAGGCAGAGGGAGAGGGAGAAGCAGACTCCCTGCTGAGCAGGGAGCCCGATGCGGAACTCGATCCCAGAACCCTAGGATCATGACCTGAGCTGAAGGCAGCTGCTTAACCAACTGAGCCACCCAGGTGCCCGGAAATAAAGACTTTAAATGACACACTGGACCAAATGGACTTCACAGACATATTCAGAAAATTCCATCCCAAAGCAACAGAATACACATTCTTCTCTAGTGCCCATGGAACATTCTCCAGAATAGATCACATCCTAGGTCACAAATTAGGTCTCAACCGGTACCAAAAGATTGGGATCATTCCCTGCATATTTTCAGACCACAATGCTTTGAAACTAGAACTCAGTCACAAGAGGAAAGTCTGAAAGAACTCAAGTACATGGAGGCTAAAGAGCATCTTACTAAAGAATGAATGGGTCAACCAGGAAATTAAAGAAGAATTAAAAAAAATTCATGGAAACAAATGAAAATGAAAACACAACGGTTCAGAATCTTTGGGATGCAGCAAAGGCAGTCCTAAGAGGAAAGTATATAGCAATAAAGCCTTTCTCAAGAAGCAAGAAAGGTCTCAAATATACAACCTAACCCTACACCTAAAGGAGCTGGAGAAAGAACAGCAAATAAAGCCTAAACCCAGCAGGAGAAGAGAAATAATAAAGATCAGAGCAGAAATCAATGAAATAGAAACCAAAAGAACAGTAGAACAGATCAACCCAAGTAGGAGCTGGTTCTTTGAAAGAATTAATAAGATTGATAAACCCCTGGCCAGACTTTTCAAAAAGAAAAGAGAAATGACCAAAATAAACAAAATCATGTTCATTTGTTTTAATTTTTAGATTCTACGTTTAAGTGAAATTATATGGTATTTGTTTTTCTCCACCTGACATTTTACTTAGCATAATACTTTCTGGGTCTATCCATGGTGTCCCAAATGGCAAGATTTTTCTTTTTTTTTTTTTTTTTTTGGCTGAGTCATATTCCTCTGTGTATGTGTGTGTGCGCGCGCGCGTATTTGTGTATCTCACATTGTCTTTATCCATTCATCCTTTGGTTGATAATTGGGTCACTTCCATATCTAGATTATAATAAATAATGCTACAGTAAACATAGGGGTGCGTATATCTTTTTGAATTAGTGGATTTTTTTTTTTTTTATATATTCTTTGGGTAAATACCTAGTATTGGAATTACTGGATCATATAGTATTTCCGTTTTTAATTTTTTGAGGAACCTCCATGTTGTTTTCCGCAGTGGCTGCACCAATTTACATTCTCAGCAATAGTGCATGAAGGTTTCTTTTTCTCCACATCCTCACCAACTCTTGATATTTTTTTGTCTTTTTCACATTGGCCTCTCTGACCGGTCTAAGGCAATATCTCATTGTGGTTTTGATATGCATTCCCTGATGATGAGTGATGTTGAGCATCTTTTCATGTGTCTGTTGGCCATCTATATGTCTTCTTTGGAAAAATGTATTCAGGGCCTCTGCCCATTATTTAATTGGGTTGTTTGTTTTTTGTGTGTTTTCTGGGGGGGGGGGTTGAGTTATGGGAGTTACATATTTTGGATATTAACCCTTATTGGATATGTCATTTGCAAATATCTTTGCCCATTTAGTAGGTTGCTTCTTTTGTTTTGTTGATGGTTTCCTTTTCTGGGCAGAAGCTTTTTATTTTGATATAGTCCCAATAGATTATGCTTGTTTGTGTTTCCTTGTCTTAGGAGACATATCTAGAAAAATGTTGCTATGGCTAATGTCAGAGAAGCTCTGCCTTTGTTCTCTTCTAGGATTTTTATGGTTTCAGATCTCACAGGTCTTTTACCCATTTTGAGTTTATTTGTATATGGTGTGAGAAGATGGTCCAGTTTCATTCTTTTGCATGTGGCTGTCCAGTTTTCCCAACACCATTTGTTGGAGAGACCATCTTTTCTCCATTGTATATTATTCCTCTTTTGTCATTGATCAATTGCCCATATAAGCGTGGGTTTATTTCTGGAGTCTGTTCTGTTCCATTGGTCTATGTGTTTGTTTTCCATTAATCTAT